AGTTTAATCGACTACAACGAACAGCAACTAACCTCAGAAAGTTTCAGAGACTATATAATTATATTACACCGGTATGAACTCTCGGTCATCTATCGTAATCCACCATATCGGAAGGCTAGGGCACCTTGAGTAAGCGTTCCCTAATGTTAGACCTTAAAGATACATGTATTGAGGGCTGCTAAATCTATTAGTTGGATGCCCAGAGACACTCAAGACTTACTAACAGAAGCCAGATTGGAGATTCTTGGGCGTTTCAGCTAAACGAAACTTCTGACACTAATGTATTATTTATGTTTGGCATATATATTAACAATTCTAAGTACACTGCAGAAGAGTTATACACCCGAAACGTCTGTTGTTGTTGTTTTTGTTGTAGTTGTTGCTGGTTTTAACACTTGATCGACGCTTTTTGTTATTTTCGTTGGGAATATCACCTATTGACGGTTTTTCCGTTCACTATTATTCTTTTAACTCTAAGTCTATTAAACCTTTGAAACATGTACATCTTTGCACTAGCTCGCTTAACTTAATTAGACATCCCTGAAGAATATGGAGGCCCCATAAACCTGGAACTTTCCTATACAAAAGCCTCTTAAGAGCAGGATCCTTCGTGCAGAGATTCTTCCAAGGTAGACTACAAACAGAGCATTAAAAAAACTACTTAAAAAACCTCAAAATTTGTTGCATTCAAATCTGAGTTCCAGATTTCAAATGTAATTCATAAATATTTTGTAGTTATGATATATATGTGCCATCATTTTCAATGTAATAATGTAATTACGTTTTCCCTTACTAAAATGTACTTCATATAGATTAGAAGTCAATTATTATCAGGTTTCATATTTGTTTATTTACTGCGGAGTAGGTAAGACATGGTCTACGGCAATTTTACCCTGCTGTTTTAAGTTACAAAGAAAATCGAGTAGAGATGTTTATTCGAAAAACTAATGTAACGAAGGTTTTTTCGTGACAAATCTCATTTTATTTGTTTTGGCTATTTTGCAACCACCCTTACTGATCCTAATTTAAGGTTAATTTACTCAGCGAACAAACGTTTTGTCAATGCACAATTGAAACGTCGCTATTCTTTAAGGAGAAGAGGGTGTTATCCGCCGAGGCCAAAGCGAACAACCCCCTCCAAGACTCATAGGAAAGCCGAATACAATACCCTTTTTTTTTTTCATTGATAATAGCTTGTCCGTCTTTCAAAAATGCTTGTCTCTTTCTGTTCTTTGGTGCGTTACTCAGCAAATTCAGGATATAAGGAGATGGTTATTTTGGATCAATGATCCGTTACTTTTGTCTCAGGATGACTACCTTCATATACTTTAGGCGTTGTTGAAAAACATATTAATTTAATAATAATAATAATAATAATAATAATAATAATTAATTAATTATCCTCTCCCCATGTGGGATTTTCAGCGATAATGAAACAAACAAGTTAAATGAAATACAACATGGTTTAAAATCCTAACTGGTAGGAGGCAACCAGTTGACTATTTACATGCTTGGCCGAGGATTTGAACTCGGAACTACCGAGAAAAAAGGCAGCTAGCAGTCAGGACGGGACTTGAATTCAACTGGGGGCCTCTGAATTACAAGTTCAGCGCCCTAGCCACTATTGTGGTACTTTTTCTGTTTTTGATTTTTTTAAGGCAAAACTTCGGCTATGTTTTCTTCGCAAAGCGTGTAAGCTCTACCAAACCAAACTGAGAAAACGCAGCCTAGTCTCGGGGGCCTCTCGGTTGCCGTCCCTTTTCTGGCGATAGCCTGTACTATAATTTTCCTTCATTTATTGGAACGTCGCAAAAGTCTTCCATATTTGATCACCACTAGCTGGTTGTTAAGAATTAGAAATTTCGAACAGTACGCTTAAACTTTTTGTGGTCGTCCCGACAATGATTCATTTGTTGTGTGCGTTTTTCTTCATTTTGAAGTCGTAATCGGCTTCTTTGGCGTTCATTTCATGCCCTATTTATATTTATTGCTTCAACCCAAATTAATTTCAATACCGTTATTACACAAGCGTTGATTTCCTTGAATTTTTTGAGTAGATAACAAGTTATTATTTATTCAAAAATACGCCTCCTTTTTCTGATTGGACCAATTCCGCCCTCGTCTATGCAAGAGGCTAAAACAGGGAACGTTAAGATCGAGGAAATTAACCCGACTTCAAGTAACGCGTCTTTATTTATTTATTTATTTATTTATTTATTTTTTGGAATGGCATAAATTTTATGAGGCGTTAATTTTCTTAAAGAAGCTTCCGGAACAGAGTTTTCTTTCTAAATGTTAATCGATTATACAAAAGTAATTTTTCTTCTTGTTTTGATTGAGGCAGGCTATGGTGGCAGGTGGTCATCTCAAGATCCTTTATCAGTGCCAACGTACTGTTAATCAGAATAATGGAGAAAAGCTAAATTATTTCTTTAAGACCATCCTACTATTTGCAAATTAAGAAAGAATAAAAACAATGGCTTCAAATGTGTTATAAAAAAGTGATAAGATGATTCTGCAAACTGTAATGACGCATTTTCCTCAAAGTTTCATTTCATCAATTCCACTTTATTCCTTTGTAAAGCTTTGTAGCAACAGCAATGAAGAGCCCAACATATTAATTGCAAGTAAAAGATAAGGATAGAAAATGAGTAAAACGTGCATCGCCTAAATGTATAATTGAAAATTTCAATTCCATACTTTGTAATTATGTGTGAAAATTATTAATAGTATTATCATCATTTTTTTATATATGTCTCACTTTAATCCAAGAAAAAACCTGAAGATGTTTTTATACAACTCGTTTGATAAGTGGCTTCGCATGCAGATCAGAACTGTACTAAGAAAGGTAGCAGCTTTTTGGAGAGAAACCCAGATGACTCGGAGATAGAAACCTCTAGTTAGAATAAAACATAACCAACAACAAACTAAAGCCATTTTTTAGGATAGGGAAGTTTAGGCTGGACGTTTTCTTAGAAAAATAGCTCGGGTTGGTCTCTTTCTGCGTTCTGATCACTTTTCATGGGGTTGCTTGCTAATGAATTGCTTAATTAAAGAAAAGAAAAACTTCGATTTCGGGGTAAACTTCGCTGTACAAAGAAATCGTAAAACACTTTTGGCTATGTTTAGCCTTTTGATAAAACCATTAGGTCAAATAAGTTCAGCAATAATGATCCAGCTCTTCAATTTTGAGACCTAAAACGAATAGGTCGTCTACATTTACGCGTTTGTTACCTCAGACTATCAGATTGTTTCATCTTAGTGACGAATGCTGGCTGTTAAGTAATTCTTTTCGAATCGCAATATGAATATGTCACCACAATAATTATGAATGTGATCAAGCCCCAGAGTGTGTCCAACCCAAGCTATCTCTCCAAGGAGAGAGCTCTGGGGAAAAGGTCTAGTGTAATAGCACCCAAACTATTACTTCCCCATGGGGGAGAACCACCAACCCATGGGTAAAATTACTGGTGTGACCCCAGCAGTTGCGTAACCTCCCGCCGGATACCACTGCCTTTGACTGCAGGCGAGTTTACAGAAGTTCTTTCATGGTCTTTCATGCTACAGCGCTTCGCACCTTTAATTTGTCAGCTTCGTCTAAGCTTAAAGAAAAAAGGCGCCTTTGCAGTCTAACTTTCATGCCACAGAACATTGAAATGTTCTTAAAACATTCCAACCTTTCCGTTAGGACAACATCAAAAAAATAGTTGAAGTGTTTAAGGCCCAAAGAAAACTCGAAAAAAAGTGGGAATTTATAAGCTGATGACAGCTTTTGTTTTGGACAAAATAGCGAGCACTCCCACGTTCCCTCATTCAGCAGTTTTAATGGAGTTTTTATATTGCATTAGTACAAAACAAGGGGAATCAAGATGAGTTTTAAGAAATAACAATTTAACAAAAACATGTTTATGGTTAACTATGAACAGTTTAAAAAGATCACCAATGATTGATGAACTATTACATTGTTCAGTATTAAATCTCTCTCCCATATCTCCAAAGAAATGTGTGCGACCTGATTTGATTTATTCATTAAGTTCTTATAAATGAACGGAAATTTTCAACTTCCCTGTGGCGACAAGAATTGAATTTGTTTGTTGTTTGTGTAAACAGCAGAAACGAGCCATGCGTCTTTAGCTAGTCATCCTATATGTTGTTAATTTTAATTCAAAACATTAATTCCTGCGTCAAGAGCCTATTCTGTGTTTTCACCCACGTGGCCGCCATCTATGCAAATTTATTGGAACAAAAGAAAGCGTTTACATAAGAAAAGAGTTTAACTCAAACAGGACTGGTTTGGGACACAAACATGGCAACCGCTTCATTGTTTTGGGACACAAATGTGGCCCTCAGGACGTTATGTGAAAACACACAATCAGTTAAGGTAGCTTTCTTTACTAAGCTTAACTGAAAAAAGGTACGACCACTCCTTAACCTTCACCTTAATAAAAGGAAAGAAGAAATTAAATATGGAAAATCTTTAATAAAAAAGTATTTCCTCTCCTTGTTTGTCCTTATTCAGTTGAGAACGCTTAAAAACGTTCATAAATAATTAAATATTCGGCTAATCGTTATAAAATATTGATTACAAATTCGTTATATTCCCTCTTTCATGACTGTTTCTCATCACTGTTGAGACCACCTACAAATGAAAGACGTAAGGCCATAGCCTAAAAAAGGGTTTATGTTCTTCTCGTACCCAACGTTAAGACGTTCATCTTTGAGTAAACTCGAACTTTCGGGATCAATGGCATCTTTGTTTCGGCAAATATTTTGGCTTTCATATTCCAGCCTTTTGGCGCAAGGTGGATCGCTTTGTGTTGCTGTTGTTGATTTTTAATCAACAATTAAACTATCAGTTGACTTTGAAGCAAACTTTCATCCTTTTTGAATTGTAAAATGTATTTATTATATATTGCTGTAGTATAATTTTTTTTATTATTATTATTATTTTTTTATTTCTGAAACCAGATTTCTGCCGCACATTGGAATTTAAGTCTGCCATGAAGGGATATAATCTCCAAGGACATATTTTCAAGAGCGTTGAAGTACAAAACGAAACAGATTGCGATGTAAAGTGCTACTTGGAAAGCGATTGTATATCATTCAACGTTGTAACCTCGCCTACGGATGGAACGATAACTTGTGAATTGAGTAATTCTGACCATGAAACCCACCCAGAGGATCTGAGGCGCCAATTTGGAGCCGTCTATCAACCAATCAAGGTAAAGGGTATCACGTTCAGTGAACACAAAAGGCCGTGCTACAGTGACGAACAGTAGAGCTATTAAGTATTGACAAAATAATTACGTCCACAAATGCCAGAAAATCGAGAGACTTAGAGTCACTTTTACGGAAAACGACAAACTCGAGATGCATTAGTTAAAATTTCACAAATTATGGAGTAGTATACTATGTTGTAAGATAAGCCCCGTTGGTGGATTCCAATTTATCGATCAACATGGTATACTACTTTATGGAATGAGCAGGTAAAAACTGTCCAAAACAAGTTGATGAATAAGCGTTACAAGAAACAACTTATTCCGATGTAAAAATAATAAAAAAACAAACGACAGGTAAAGGAAAAACTTGGTCACGTTGTACAATTTGACGTTTGCTGTTAACGTGATTTTAAATGTCCCAAATTTTAGGTTGTTTTGTGTTCCCTAAAGCATGGAGGTTAGGGCACTAAAAAACTGCCAGCTATTTTATGCCAGGTTTTGTAAGGTAATCAGAATTGAACCAATCATGGGTGAGGTCCTTCCAGGGAAGGGGAGGAGGGTGTCCATACCCACTGATCCTTTAAATACCCCGCCCCACCCCTTGTTCCCAAATTTAAAATATGACAGGTTTTGACCGTGAAACTTAGCTTTCCCTGGTTCCTTGTTTCTGGTCATATCTAAGAAATGGCATCGTAACTTTAAAGTCGTTAAGTTTCCACAAGTAGCGAACTCGTTGCCAGTTTGTGGAGAACGAAATTGAATCTAGGTTTCCGTCCATTATCAGAAAAGTTCAACATTATAACTTTAAGTCTAAGGCAGACCGGAAAAAACAGAAATATGTCGCCAAATAAAAAAGGGTGAAGGCGTATTCGTTTGAGCTGTTAAGTCAACCTAATATTTCACGGTCTTGTTTCATGGAAAACTCGACGTTCAGCGGGCCTCTTCTCTAAAAGATATTTCACTATACACCTTTTTTTCCTAACAGAAATTCGTTATGTCCCCTTGCTCTCCAAAATCCGGTATGGATGGTGGAGTTACGGCCACGTTAACTAAGATATCAACAAATTGAACACCATCATGCGCATATTTTCTACGTATTAAAAATTACGGGCTTAAAGTGGTTATAAAATATATATTTCATAGGAAATGGCAACGAAACATCGGATATTTCATTTTCAGATACTCCATACGTGAGCCAATAGAACATAAAAGAACTTAATTAAAATAAAGTAAAACAGACATACAAACAAACAGATAAAGTACTGTAAAAAGGTTTGTGCCCAAAAGTCATTTTATAAGTAGGTGGAGCATGATCGTCGAGGTGAGCCGGTAAATTGGTGTTAAATAGGACTAGTATTTTTAAATCCACTTAGTGTACATTAGCAAAAAAAAAAAACGTTCAGGGTATTTGAGAAGAAGTAATAGGCATAACAATTATCTTAATCCGCTTGATCCGCTTTCAAAATACCCTTTTTTGTTGAGTCTGCTTTCTTTCGAAGTACCTCAGACTCTGTACATGTAATATATTCTTCTATACTGTTATTATATCTTCAGAACGCCTGTTTAGGGAATTTTTGTCCGCCGCATTCAACATGTCAAAACGGATACACTGACAAGGGATACCGATGTAAGGAACACACGCTGGCAACTCCCACAGGTATTTTCCCGGCTCAAATGAAACTAGTTACCAAAGGTTAGGGAGTGTGGGCGACAACGATCGGAGGTCAAAACGCTTCTATTCCAACGCTGTGCGTTGCGTAAGTTTCGCGTGACCGATGGTTAAAACACTCGTGGTCGAGACGCCTCGTGATCACATTGCGTTCTGTGGATTCTATTCATTCTTAGTGGATGTCCAAACAATGCTGCCTGCGAAAATTTTTTTTTTTTTGTTGGGGAGGGGATCACTTTCTTTTGGAGCATTCATCTCCATACTCCAACCTGACATTTCCCTCTCACAAGACATTTTGAGACATTTCCCTTTTCTTACATGAAATTTCTAAGTACAGAGTCTAAGTATCTTCAATTTTTAAGGAGAAAAAAATTAGAAGGGCGTGAGTAGCACTCGAACCCGAAGCGTAGAATCTGCAGTCCACCTCCCATACCATTACGCCACTGAGGATTTGCTGACGATTGATGGTTTGATTTGAAGATATATAGCAACAACCCTAACCCCGAATAGAAGCTAATCGTTTATCGACTCAGTGCTTAACCCTAATCAGTATTGATCAGTGCTTAACCCTAATCATTATTCTCAGGGTTTATCCCTTGGCGACCTCTGCGGCCAGCTGAACATTGCATACAATTGACTCTTCAGGAAGGATTGGAAACTAAATGGGAAGGTTCGGTTACTATTCTAAGCAGATTGGCCAAGCTCCCCAAGGAAGTGCTCCCCCCAAAAAATTTCGCATGCTGGCTACATACATGCGACGCATGAGTAATAACCTGGAGATTAGGATTGCAGGCTACTCTTGTCGCCCGCAATTATACTTTGTTTAAAGATGTAGTCAGTGAACATACTAAAGCAAGCCAATTCGCCACTCCGGCAACTATAAGAGAATGGGTACAAGCTTTCGGTTCACTGATTATTGGGATTCTTTGAGTGGAGAAGCGTTACTAATTATTAGTTAATGGTTGCCTTGAATCCCATCGACGAATCATAACTAATGTTTTTCGCCCAAGCTATCCCAGATATCACTGCGCTTTAAACTGTACCCAGGTAATCCCCCTAGAGTTTCTGGCGTGGAGAATTACAGTAGTATCCGTAAAATAAAATATACATTACTTTACATGACCAAATATTGGTCATGTTATTTACAATATAAGAGAACAAAAGGGAAATTAAAAATAGAAAAAATATGAAAGGAGTATTTTATTCCATCAAGAAATAAAAATTAAAAAAAGAATAATAAGAGATGATATTTATGTATATCATCAGCATACAGTGTATTTTCTACATAAGGCACAGGTACCGTTTAAATTGTTTGTTTGATGGTTGGTTTGAATTTTGAAGGGCGTGTAACAGTGAAAATGATGCAAGGCATTAATCGTCATGGTAAAACAAAGTGTTCCCAAAAGTTATTTGCCCGAAGTCAGTGATCCATTAGCCGCCATCACACAAGCAAAGTTTCACGTTAGATTATTTCACATTTTAAAAATACTTGTTTAAATCTAATCAGTTTTTCCGCGTACTTTCCAAGCTTCCCAGAGCTCCAAAGCACCAGAGACCACTCAAGTGCTCGGAAGCATTGAACCGCCACATACCACTCGAGCGTTTGGCATCACCCAAGCACCACAGAACACCCAAGACCCACTAACCACACAAACGCCGGGGACCTCTCAAGCACCACAGTCCACCCAAGAGCAACTGAACAGCCAAACGCCAGTCACTACTCAACCGCCAGGTACCACCCAAGATCCACTGACCACCCAAACGCCAGTGACCACTCAAGCACCACAGACCACCCAGGAGCGACTGAACGCCCCAACGCCAGTGACTACTCAAACGCCAGGGACCACTCAAGCACCACAGACCACCCAACAGCCACTGGACACCCAAATACCAGTGACCACTCAAGCGCCATAGAGCGTTTAAAGTCCAAAGATTCAGCTAAAACTTTATATTGGCCAGAACAAAACAATTTTCAGCCCCGTTTCAATTTACCGGCACGCGATAATCAAGTGGCTTTACAACAGTGGTAAAAAAATGTCTTCCTGATGGGGTTGTCCCTGGTGGCATAAACAGTTTGAGAATAACATCGGTAAACAAAAGTCATGAAGGAACTTTCACATGCGTCGGGCAAACTAATAGGTCCAATTTCGGGTCAGCTGTTCACATTGTACTCCAGGTCATTTATCCTGAAACGTGCAGCAGAGTAAAAGCCAAAATTAGTTATGCAAGTGATTGGTACATCATTGACCCCGATGTCCAGGAGGAAAAGCATCATTCCAGGCTTATTGTAACATGACTGACAAGGAAGGCGCTAGCGTGACGGTTATTAGTCTCGACACTGAAAACAGGACCCATGTAGACGGCTGTGATCCTCCAGGTTGCTATGAACGTTATGTGACATACACAGGTGTCCTCCCCATCCAGTTGGAAGCCTTGACAGATGTATCGGCACGTTGTGAGTAGTGCATTAGCTACGAATTTTTGAACTCCAGGCTGCTTGAAGGTGGAAAGGCTTGGTGGGTGTCTCGAGGTGGACGAAAAAAGGATTACTGGGGTGATACCACTGAAAAACGTCAATGAGGTTGTGCCTTAACGGACTTATGCGCACACCGGGATAAAAAATGCAATTGCAACTACAGAGATAACATATGGCGGGGTTTGGAGATACAGAAAAGGTCGGATCCGAGGGTTATCACACACTGGGAAAGTTGAAATGCTATGGAATCTCAACTTCGCACCATCAATGACTTGTATATCCATGAAATTCGTCTGACCTCAGTTACCAGAATGCCCGCTTTTCTATCCATGCAACGCAAACACGATCCAGCCACAGCTATTCCCGAGTCCACTTTGATTTTTCTTAACTTTAATCATTGAGGGGTCCAACATTGTCTATCGTCCATTTTTCTTCTTTCCTAGATCAAGTTCAGGCCAACATAAGGAAACTTCGTTTTTTAGTTCTTTCCGGCCTTGATCAGAATATCCAAATACTGAACTTGTTACATTTAAACGAGGATAGTCCCATATATAGCATAAAGAGCAGCGCTTAACTCAGGCATTTTGCTTTCAGTGCACTGAATGCCCTGCCAGCTTAAGGTAGAAGTTCACTTCGCTTTTCTAAGTAGTATAGTTTGCATCCATCCAGTGACTCAAATAATAATGGACAATCCAGTATTCAAAATATACCATAGTTGATGGTATCAAAATGCACATGCCAAACTGGCTGGACGCATGTATTCTCCACATGTAAAGGAATCCGGGAATTTTTGCACGTGGTATCCGGAATCTTGGAAATTTTTTGCTTGTGGAATCCGGAATCCTGGGCCTTCCATTCCGGAATACAGCTGTAGGAATCCGGCATCTTACTGACAACTGGAATCTGGAATCCAAGTCCACTGAAAGATCTAGAATCCAGTAATCGGAATCCAGAATCCATGACTGTCTTTGATTCCCTCGCATGGGTTGACATGTAAAAGCGTGGCGCAGGAACTTGACATGGGATAATCCAGAAAAAAAAGAAAGAAAAGCCAGTAGCTGGGGTGAAATTAAACCTGGGATCACTGGCACTGGCCAAATGCTTAAAAGGGGATGAAAATTGAAGTTACCAAAAAGTTCAAAATAAATTTGCTAGAGTCGTTCTACATCGCAAATAGCAGTCAACAAGAGAGGGTAAAGGGGACAGAGAAGGCATCCCCCATATACACCCTATTCCATAGGTAATTCGTTTCGAGTTATTTTTAGAATCGGGATAAAGTTATCTCGCGCGCTGCGTGGATGTTTTGTGGAGGTTTCGCAAGACTAAACGCCGTGTAAAACTTATTATAATAAGTAGAGGTGATACGTTTCTTGGTAGGGCCTGAGTCACACTGTGTATAAATCATGGGGAAATAAGTTAAATCGACTACAAAGAACCGGAAACCTTAAAGATACATGTACTAAGGGCTGCTAAACCCATTCGTTGGATGCCCAGAGACACACAAGACGTTCTAGCGGAAGTCAGATTAGATATTCTTGAGCATTTCAGCTAAACGACTCTTCTGACACTGATGTAGTATTTATGTTTTGTATATGTATTAACAATTCCAAGTACACTGAAGAAGCGTTATATAGCCAAAACGTCTGTTGTTGTCGTTGTTGTTTTTATTGTTGTTTTAACATTTGATCGATGCTTTTTGTCATTTTCGTTAAGGAATATCAGCTCATCAGCTATCTAGGTACAAGTGTCACGCATCCCTGACGGTTTTTCGGTTCACCATTATTCTAAACCTTTGAAACATGTAAATCTTTGCACTAGCTCGCTTAACTTAATTAGACATTCCTGAAGAATATGGAGGACCCATAAACATGGAACTTTTTTACAAAGCCTCTTAAAAGCAGGATCCTTCGGGGAGTTTCCTCCAAGGTAGACTACAACAGCGCATTAAGAGTGCATCCACGAAAGGACCAGGCAGGGGCGGCACAAGCCATCTAACCGATTTCGATGAAACTTGGCCAGTTTGAAGGGGTCCGCCCAAAACTACTTTCCTCTAAGTTTAAGAAAATTTGGTCGAGACCGGGGGGAGTTGACCACCCCCCCCCCCTTGTTTTTTTTTAAAAAATGACCAAAAAACACCTAAAAATTGGTCAAAAGTATAAAGCTCTACTGCTAAAAGAATTCCACCAAACCTTTTCATATTTTTAGTGAATGTTATCCTACCCAAAGACAATTTATTCGACCAAATTTCCTTAAACTTGGAGTGAAGTAGTTTTGGGTGGACCCCTTCAAACTGGCCAAGTTTCATCGAAATCGGTTAGATGGCTTGTGCCGCCCCTGCCTGGTCGTATCGTGGATGCACTCTTAAAACAAAATACTTAAAAAACCTTTGTTACATTCAACTCAGATCCAGATTTCAAATGTAATTCATAAATATCTTGTACTTATGATATGTGTCCTTATTTTCAAAGTAATTACGTTTTCCCTTACTAGAATGTACTTCATATAGATTAGAAGTTAATTATTATCAGGTTTCATATTTGTTTATTTACTGCGGGGTAGATAAGACATGGTCTACGGCAATTTTACCCTGCTGTTATAAGTTAAAAAGAAAATCGATTAGAGATGTTTATTCGAAAAACTAATGTAATGAAGGTTTTCTCGTGACAAATCTCATTTTGTTTGTATTGGTTACTTTGCAGCCACCCTTACTGATCCTAATTTAAGGTTAATTTACTCAGCGAACAAACGTTTTGTCAATGCACGATTGAAACGTCGCTATTCTTTAAGGAGAAGAGGGTGTTATCCGCCGAGGCCAATTCGAACAACCCTCTCCAAGATTCATAGGAAAGCCGAATACAATAACTGTTTTCTTTTTCATTGATAATAGTTTGTCCGTCTTTCAAAAGTGCTTGTCTCTTTCTGTTCTTTGGTGCGTTACTCGGCAAATTCAGGATATAAGGAGATTGTTATTTTGGATCAATGATCCATTACTTTAGTCTAAGAATGATAACCTTCAGATAGGCGTTGTTAAAAAACAAAATTTAATAATAATGATAATAATTAATTATAATATAATAATTAATTAATTATCCTCTCCCCTTGTGGGGCTTTTCAAGGATAATGAAACAAATAAGTTAAATGAAACATAACATGGTTTAAAATCCCAACTGGTAGGAGGCAAACCAGTTAGGCTATTTACATGCGTGGCCGAAGATTTGAGCTTGGAACTACCGAGCCGGAGGACAAATGCAGCTAGCGGTCAGGGAGGGACTTGAACTCGGGGCCTCTGAATTACAAGTCCAGCGCCCTAACCATTCCGTTGTCATCCGTTTATTTGTACTATTTCTGTTTTTGCTATTTTTAAGGCAAAAATTCGGCTATTTTTTTCTTCGCAAAGCGTGTGAGCTCTACCAAACCAAACTGAGAAAACTTAGCCTAGTCCCGGGGGACTCTCGGTTGCCGTCCCTTTTCTGGCGATAACCTGTACTATAATTTTACTTCATTTATCGGATATCGCAAACGTCTTCCGAATTCGATCACCACTAGCTGGTTGTTAAGAATTAGAAATTTCGAACGGTCGCTTAACCTTTTTCTGGTCGTCCCGACAATTATTCATTTGTTGTGTGCGTTTTTCTTCATTTTGAACTCGTAATAGGCTTCTTTCGCGTTCATTTCATGCCCTATTTATATTTACTGCTTCAACCCACGTTAATTTCAATAGCGTTATTACACAAGCGTTGCTTTCCTTGAATTTTTTGAGTAGATAACAAGTTATTGTAAATTCAAAAATACGCCTCCTTTTTCTGATTGGACCAATTCCGCCCCTGTTTATGCAAGAGGCTAAAACAGGGAGCGTTAAGGTCGCGGAAATTAACCCGACTTCAAGTAACGCGTCTTTATTTATTTACTTTTTGGAATAACACAAATTTTATGAGGCGTTAATTTTCTTAAAGAAGCTCCCAAAATAGAGTTTTCTTTTTAAATGTTCATCGATTATACAAAAGTAATTTTTCTTCTTGTTTTGACTGAGACAGGCTATGGTGGCAGGTGATCATCTCAAAATCCTTTACTGATCAGTGCCAAGCAATCAATCAGAATATAATGGAGAAAAGCTAAATTATTTCTTTAAGACCATCCTACTATTTGCAAATTTGAAAGAATGAAAACAATGGCTTCATATCAAATGTATAATAAAAAAGTGCATTATCATAATTTTAAACAAGTTTTAGTTTACCAAATTTTTAAATATTTCCCAGAAGCGATTACGTCCGTTTAACAGTCGGCTGTTGAAGTAGAACTCGTGATTGAATTTCGACCGGTGAAGACATGGATTTGCTTCTATTTTTTATCAATAACGTATTTTAGGGTCTAATATCAAAAGCTTTTGCTTCCAGCGTGGTCGACACTTTGCCAACTGTTATAACAGAGATTTTAGTGG